ACTGCATATACAGACCGATTTTACTGTTGTGGGTTTAGTAACACTTTTAAACTCCACATATGGAAAGACTTCTTTACGGTTAGAGCTGTGAAAACGTGAATAGACTTCCCCAGGAGCTAGTTCTAGCCAACTCTAAATAAAAAAGGTCAGATGTGGTTTTAAATGACTAAAACACAGGTGTCATCTTAGCGGCCCTCCAGCTGTTGCCAAACTACAAGTCCTATGAGGCAGTGTAAGACTGACAGTTACGAGCATGACTCCAAAAGGCAGAGGCATGATGGGACTTGTAGTTTCGCAACAGCTGGAGGGCCGCCAGTTTGACAGCCCTAGCCTAAAACATTACTGGCTACCAGGGGAGGACTGACAACTCATGGGGCCCCCGGGCAATAGGGGATCATTGGACCCCTGTGTCCTTGCCCAAACTCAAAAAAAGCCTATGAAAAAGGTACCAGGGCCATCTCATGGGGCCCCCTACTGACCCCGGGCCCTCGGGCAGTGCCAGAGTTTCCAAATGGTCAGTCCGCCCCTGGTGGCTATTAATATTTATAAGAAAAAAACACTGCAGATTGTTGATTCAAAGAGTATCTGGGGGGTTATCTGGGGGGGGGGGGGGGTTGTATCAGGAAGCATGTTTTTCCCTGTTAGAGCAAATTGATGGGGATTTTCTGGATTTGTCTACAAGGACTTTGCGCATTCTTTTAATAGTGTCATTTGCGAACAGTGGCGGCGCCCCCAACAGCTCATAAGAATTGCATGGAGATCCAAACCTCACAACAGAGGAGCATTCTTGTGAAGTTATTTTCAGAGAAATCATCTCGATGACAATGTGTCAGATCTGAACGACAGCACCAGAGGAAAAAAATAAATATGGAAGAAAAAAAAAAAAAGATAATAATAGAGATGAATGCGACACTTCCATCTCTCTTCTGTGGGAAAGTTCTTCCAGCCTGCTGCTCGGGTAAATGCCATGTATTACCGCTCCCCGCGCCATCCTGCGCTTGGGTGTGTGCGTGCCCGTCTGCGCAGCACGGCGAGACTAACAAACCCCTCAATCCGCTTTCTAGCAGATGTCAGCCCGGCGGAAGTCTACCATTGTCTGTCTGCAATGACACAATCGTTGTCTGAACAGGAGCTGAGCCTGTTTACTCTCCGGTGCTGCGAGGACACACGCCGTTCCGGCCGGAGATGGCGGAACACGACACCCCCACCAGACACCGGGGACAATGTGTCACGCAACAATCTTCCCTGAAAAAAAAAATGGAACTCTATGCAGAATAAAAAATGACCATTTTGATACGGCCTGTCTGTGCCAATAAAACGGTATTAACCCCTTGCCTACCGGGCACTTATACCCCCTTCCTGCCCAGGCCAATTTTCAGCTTTCAGCGCTGTCACACTTTGAATGACAATTGCGCGGTCATGCAACATTGTACCCATATGAAATTTTTATAATTTATTTCACACAAATAGAGATTTCTTTTGGTGTTATTTAATTGCCGGGGGGGGGGGGGGGGGGGGGGGGGGGTGTTTATTTTTTGCGCTATAAAAAAAAGAGCAAAAAAAATTAAGTTTTTTCTTTGTCTCTATTATAACATTTTGCAAACAGGTAATTTTTCTCCTTCACTGATGTGCGTTGATGAGGCAGCACTGATGGGCGGCACTGGTGGGTGGCACTTATGGGCATAGGTGGGTGGCACTGCTGGGCACAGGTGGGTGGCACTGCCGAGTGGAACAGATGGGTGGCACCGATGAGCACAAGTGGGTGGCACTGCAGGGCACAAGTGGGTGGCACTGATGGGCATAGGTGGGTGGTACTGCTGGGCACAGGTGGGTGGCACTACTGAGTGGAACAGATGGGTGGCACTGATGGGCACAAGTGGGTGGCACTGCAGGGCACAAGTGGGTGGCACTGATGGGCATAGGTGGGTGGCACTGCTGGGCACAGGTGGGTGGCACTGCTGAGTGGAACAGATGGGTGGCACTGATGGGCACAAGTGGGTGGCACTGATGGGCACAGGTCGGTGGCACTGCTAGGCACAGGTGGGTGGCACTGCAGGGCATGTGGGTGGCACCGATGGGTACAGGTGGGTGGCACTGCTGGGCACTGATCATAAGGAAACTGATCATCAGTGCCCTGATGATCAGTGCCAATCCCTTCGCTGACAACTGCAGGTTCTCGGCAGCACTTTCTTCACGCTGTCACATGGTGAGGAAAGTGCAGCCGAGAACCGGCAACTGTATTTACCCGGAGATTGCTGTGTCATTGGGCACAGCTGATCACATGGTAAAAGGCCACCATGATTGGCCGTTTACCGTACCCCGTGATCAACTGTGTCCATAGGACACAGCGATCACCGGCGATGCCCAGTGCATACAGCTGGTGGTGCGCGGGGGGCAGGTTCTGGAATGACGTCCATGGACGGCATCCCAGGATTCCACAACCGCGCTGTAGCCGTCCTTTGGCTATAGCACGGTTGGGAACTGGTTAAACCCAAAAGCAAACATTTATTATAATGCCGCTTACCAATTCTTAGATGTGATGGCTGCATTTGTTTTCTTTTTTAGGCTTTCTCTTATTTTCACCTGGTGATCTGGCCAGTAAGTCTTTCGGGTTTTTTTTTTTTAACAGAACAAGCTATCCTAAGATGTTGTAGTTTTGAGGGTTGCAACAAACCATTGACCAATGCGCTTACAATAATCAGCTTTTATTTATTCATGTAAAACTTTTATCCCAAAAGAAAAAAACCTGTTTGCTGTAACTGCTTAGAAAGTGTGAGCAGGAATTTGCCTTCAATTTGTTCATGTATTTAAATCTGCTAGTATATCTAACACTCCCCTCCGCACACACTGACAATCCTGATTTCCAAAGGTGCCTCCAGTGCTCCTGCATCCAGACTGGAGGCTCTCTAATACAGGAAGTTTGTTACTGGCCAGATCACTAGGTGAAAACAGAAAGAAAAAGCATATAAAAAGAAAAAGAATGCATCCAATCTTTGGTAAGCTGCAATATATTATTGCATTTTTGTTTTTTGGGCTTAATACTGCTTTAACACAGCAGTCTTTGTTTTTCTGGTTCTCCTCTGTAACACCTTCCAAAAAAATACAACACACTATATTAACTGCGCTGAAAAATGTCCTTAAAAAAGGGTCAATGTGTATCGATGCAATAATTGTGTTCATTTTATAGAGTCCCGGTACTACAAAGCACCTTCCACAGTTTAAATACAATAGTGACTTGGTGATAAACTGGTGATCTCGACAAGTAGGCGTGATGCGTTCTATCATTTGCGCCCCCCCAGAACCTCACTCACCACAATGAGTTGACCACCTAAGCTTAGGTAGGTTAAAAGCGCTTTTTGGGTGTTTTCCCCAGCCCCTGAAATGGACCAGCCTCCTGTAAGCCTCTGAGATGATTGTCCCCTCTACCACGATCCTCCTGGCAAATAGGAAAACCTCCAACACTCCAAACGACCACTTTTCCTCCACCACAATAGGAGTAATCAAAGGGAAACTCCCACAGAGTTATACTGTTTTATTTAGATAAAATCCATAAAATTGCACTTACATCATATCCATGTAGGTAGCGCTTTAAAACAATGTGTCCTGGAACACCGTTGCACTCCACATACACCTTTGTATGGGCCAGAAGTGATGCAATTAACCCCGCCCCAATGGGTTTCGTCATAGTGACGTCATCAGGAGCATGTTTTTCGAACAGAAGCAGACCCATTCGAATGAATGATGCCGCTCCAAAAATGTGCTTAAAAATGCTCAACAAAACACTCCAAAAACTCAGTTGCGTCAGTCAAGTGTGAATGGGGCCTTAACGTTGTCACAGGAAGTGTGTTACTGGCAGGATCACCAGGTGAAACAAAGGAAAAAAAATCTTGCAAATAAACGTAATGCAGCCACCACAGAACCAGGGGACCAGAAAGATGAACTATATTATGCTGTTGTTCTATAAAGCGGTAGTAAAAAAAAAAAAGAACTCCCCAAAAAATTGGTTCCCTGCAGGATAATAGCATAATGTGTTAGTATCAGGGGCGGACTGACAACTCATGGGCCCCTGGGCAATAGAGGATCATGGGGCCCCTGTGTCCTTGCCCAAACTCAAAAAAAGCCTATGAAAAAGGTACCAGGGGCATCTCATGGGGCCCCCCTACTGACCCCCGGGCCCTCAGGCAGTGCCCGAGTTTCCAAATGGTCAGTCCGCCCCTGGTGAGTATGCATCACTGTCACTGCTGGAGGTGCTTCCATCTTCACACGATCTTCCTTCCGGGTTCACGGGCTTCGACTATTTGAATGGTTGAGCAACGATGATGTCACATAGCACGGTGCGGGCATTATGGCCATGGCATGGCGCTCTTAATGGATGGCACACTGTCTATTGAAAGTGCAGTGTGCATGCGCTGGTGACATCACCTAAATATCTCCTAAATGGTGCACATCACCTGTAGGTACAAGGTGGCCTTTACTACCACGCTAATTCTCTTGTGTTTTTCCCCAGGACCCCGTATCACGGCTCTGCTCCACCATGACCTTTTTGGTGCAGTCTTTACTGAGAGAACTCTTTGCCCCCCGTCATATCGTCACAGCTTCTTCCTCTCCAGATGCTGCCGAGTCTCCTAATTCACATTACAGATGATTCAGTAGATAATTTCATTAATTATTGTTGTGTTCCGGAGGTCTGGATCGGAGGACTGGATTTTTCCTGCATTGTGTGACAATCTCTTACTGTTACCTTTGCCCTTTTCATGCTGATCATTACGTCGAGGGATTTATATAGATAATTGGGAAAAACACACATAACCCCCACACACTTCCAGGGAAATTATCCCTGTGATTTGGTCATAGTATCCTTCTTCTACCTGGTGAGGTTTAGGTGTTCATCACTTCACTGGCTGCATGCTGGTTCCAGGTCATTGTTTCACTAAGCCGGTATTTTGCAACACAGGTTCTGTTGAATCCTAGGGTTTCACCAGAGGCTGCTAGAGGTCCCATTTCTGTCTGCTCAGAGAAGTAACCACTGACACCATTGACACATAGTAGAGAGGAGTATTCTTCCCACTAACCATCAATGGAAGAAGCAGTCTTCCCAATGACCACTAATAGAAGAAGCAGTCTTCCAACAGACCAACAATGGAAGAAGCATTCTTCCCACTGACCACCAATGTAAGGAGCATTCTTTCCAATGACCACCAATGTAAGGAGCATTCTTTCCACTGACCACCAATGGAGGAAGCATTCTTCCCACTGACCTCCATAGGAAGAATAATTCTTCCCACTGCCTACCAAAGGAAGAAGCATTCTTCCCACTGACCACCATTGGAAAAAGCATCTGCCCACTGACCACCAATGGAGGAAGCATTCTTCCCACTGACCACCAAAGGAAAAAGCATTCTTCCCACTGACCACCAATGGAGGAAGCATTCTTCCCACTGACCACCAAAGGAAGAATCATTCTTCCCACTGCCCACCAAAGGAAGAAGCATTCTTCCCACTGACCACCAATGGAGGAAGCATTCTTCCCACTGACCACCAAATGAAGAAGCATTCTTCCAACTGAGCACTATTAGAAGAAACATTCTTCCCAATAACCACCAATAGAAAAAGCATTCTTCCTACTGACCACCAATGTAAAGAGCATTCTTCCCACTGACAACTGATGGGAGAATCATTCTGACTACCAAAGGAAGAAGCATTCTTCCCACTGACCACCAATGGGAGAAGCATTTTTCCCACTGACCACCAAAGGAGAAGAAAGATTCTTCCCACTGAGCACCCCTGTAAGGTGCATTCTTCCCACTGACCACAAATGTAAGCAGCACTCTTCACACTGATCATCAGACCATCCACCATTGCTGTAAAGAACATTCTTCCCACTGACCACCAGGCTAATGTACTGTCTGCTGTAGGTACAGTCATATTTGGTAGGGATCCCTGAGACCTGAATGTTAATTCAAGGGTTCCTCTATGCTGAAAAATGTTGAGAAAGGCTGAACTAAGCAGTGAAAGAAGGAAGACTGCTACAGCCCTGGAGGCAGAATTTTCAAAAGGAGGTCAATGATGACAGCCACCACCATGTTTGTATCTTGACAGGTTCTCTTTCTTTAGAAATGTAAGTAGCCCTCCCCAATAAGAAGGGTTTAGCCAAGGAGTTTCTAAACCATCATATGTTTAGCCAAAATTTACATTTATTTTTTTTTTTAGTTTTGTACACCTCCTGACTGGTTTTCCCATTTGCTATACCCACTGCCACCGGCATAACAGGTAGGATGGTAACAGTGCTGGTATATGAACAAACTCTTGTCAGCTATGAGTTTGTTTACATATTTACCCCCAGCTTCCGGATTTCTAGAGGACATGATTCAGACAACTGTAAAGCCACCAGATCACTTCCTGTCCCCCATGTGTCCTGGGCTTTCCTGTCCCTCCTGGGTGACTTGGATCTCCATGGCGGGAATCAGGATGGGAAGCAGTGGGATATCTGTGAACACCCATTCCCTGATCTCCTCTGGATAGTATGAACCTGGAAGTGCTCAGCTTTGAGCACTTTGGGGTTCAGAGCTGTCAAACCCTCGGCTGTTATGGCCAGGGTAGGAGCTGATTAGGCACAGTCTGTTCTCGATTAGCTTCCACAGAATTCAGAAGTAAAATTAGGAGTTATTAGGAAACATCAGGACCCCTGACATCTTTTTAAACCTGTCCACATAGCCTCCTTGTTTATATGCATACGAATGTGTGTGTTGGGTGCCTACACATTGTGCCACCCATATTAGGTACTGAGTGAGAACAATAATTCTAGGGCCATCATTCACTGTTAACCAGGGGCGGACTGACCATTTGGAAACTCGGGGTACTGCCCAAGGGTCAGTAGGGGGCCCCATGAGATGCCCCTGGTACCTTTTTCATAGCTTTTTTGAGTTTGGGCAAGGACACAGGGGCTCCATGATCCCTTATTGCCCAGGGGCCCCATGAGTTGTCAGTCCGCCCCTGCTGTTAACTGATGATCTGTAAAGGCTTTAGACCACATTCACATCTTGTTTAGTGGAAATGAGCATTCCTGTTCAAGATTATTTTGGTGTGATTTGCGCACGTTTCGCCATGTCATACATAGGGCAGACCATTCACTTGAAAAGACTGCCCAGGGGGCATCTGTCATGCAGCAGAAGCTCACACATTTTTTTAGGCGATAAACTTCACATGATATTGCCATGCACATTTTTGCTGCGATTACTGCATGTTTTTGATGCACGGCAAGCATAGCAACAATCATTCCAGAGAGAGAGATATCATTACCCCGGTACAAATCATTAATAAGACCTCATCTGGAATATGCAGTTCAGTTTTGGGCACCAATTCACAAACATTGGGGAACTGGAGAAAGTACAGAGAAGGGCAACCAAACTGATAAGAGGCATGGAGGAGATCAGCTATGAGGAAAGATTAGAGGAACTGAATGTATTCTCTCTTGAGAAGAGGAGATTAAGGGGGGATATGATCACCATGTATAATACATAAGGGGGATATGATCACCATGTATAATACATAAGGGGGGGATATGATCACCATGTATAATACATAAGGGGGATATGATCTCCATGTATAATACATAAGGGGGATATGATCACCATGTATAATACATAGGGGGATATGATCACCATGTATAATACATAAGGGGGGATATGATCACCATGTATAATACATAAGGGGGATATGATCACCATGTATAATACATAAGGGGGGATATGATCACCATGTATAATACATAAGGGGGGATATGATCTCCATGTATAATACATAAGGGGGGATATGATCTCCATGTATAATACATAAGGGGGGATATGATCTCCATGTATAATACATAAGGGGGGATATGATCACCATGTATAATACATAAGGGGGGATATGATCTCCATGTATAATACATAAGGGGGGATATGATCACCATGTATAATACATAAGGGGGGATATGATCTCCATGTATAATACATAAGGGGGGATATGATATGATCACCATGTATAATACATAAGGGGGGATATGATCTCCATGTATAATACATAAGGGGGGATATGATCTCCATGTATAATACATAAGGGGGGATATGATCTCCATGTATAATACATAAGGGGGGATATGATCTCCATGTATAATACATAAGGGGGATATTATCTCCATGTATAATACATAAGGGTGGATGATCTCCATGTATTATACATAAGGGTGGATATGATCTCCATGTATTATACATAAGAGGGGATATGATCTCCATGTATAATACATAAGGGGGGATATGATCTCCATGTATAATACATAATAAGGGGGGATATGATCTCCATGTATTATACATAAGGGGGGATATGATCTCCATGTATAATACATAAGGGGGGATATGATCTCCATGTATAATACATAAGGGGGGATATGATCCCCATGTATAATACATAAGGGGGGGTATGATCTTCATGTATAATACATAAGGGGGGATATGATCTCCATGCCGTAGCCAGGACGCTTTGCATCTTCGTCTGGCAGTTTCAATGCAACGTGCCAAGTTTGACAGGCGGCATCATCTGCCATCCTCTCCCATGTAAGTGCCCTTAACCACATTACTACCGCAAGTTGCTGCCGATTACTTGGCAATGGTAGAGTAAAAGAAACATTGTTTTCCATTGTTTCCTTTTCCTCTTCACATTCACACCAGCTGATTTTTTTGTAAATATGGATTTTGGGTCAAGCCCTGGATTTGGAGGCTCTTGTCCAGCTCTCCTGTATTACTCTCCATATGAATATGTTCAGTCTCTGAAATCCGCAGACACTGCAGTCTGCAATCTGTTCTCCTTTCTGCTGCTTTCCTGGGAAATGCCGCCAAGCTTTATTTTTTTTTTTTTTTTTTTTGAGTGATTTCCGCTGGAAGTGCAGAGGGGACGGGCGGGCGAGAGACACAAAACATGACATTTCAATTACCCTAATCTGCAGAAAATATATGGCAGAGATCAGCCGGCGGGTATCACTGATCCCCATTGTTGATGAAGGTGCGCCTCGCCTGGCTCATGCACGGGGCGATCTGTCAGCCATATGTGAAGATTGTTTTCTATTCACGTGGCAGGACCAACAATATGGATCACATTACCGTCATCTGCTAATCATATGGGGACACGGGGACACCGACATTGAGGCAAATTAATGGAGAGCATGCCAAGCAATCACAGCTACTGCTGAGTACTCCATACACAGGGTGGGGATGGAGAAAATTATGAACTTTCATTAATTACAATTTTTGCCAAATTTACAAGATTTTTAAGTAAACTAAAGTATCCTAAATACACCAAAAAACACAAATCCTATAAATAAATTAAAAAAATGTTTTTTAGAGCAAAGACCTAAGAAGCTCAATAGACAAAATCGAGAATTGCTTCAAAATTAGTCAAAATCACCTTGCAGGTCCCCACTCCAGTAATGGGCACTTCATGATGAGAGGGTCTGTAACACTTCCTGCGATTTGGCCCTGAAAATGTTTTGCCACAACTAACCAAGTTCATCTTACCCCAGGGTTCACACCTAAGCATTTTCTGCAGCGTTTTGCAGAAATACAGTACAGTCCATTTAACATGATTTCCTATGGGACATGTTCACATCTCTGCGTTTTCACCCGGTGTGTTTTCTGCAATTGGACAGGGACTTTTTTGAATGCAAAAAGTTGCGTTTTTGGTTATATAGACTTGAATGGAGACGCCACAGAAAAGTAAGTAGTGCGTTTTTGATGCGTGTTTTAAATCTGCCTAGCAACAAGAAAAAAAACAAAAGAAAAAAAAAAAAAAGCAAAACACATCAGAAATGATGCAAAAACACATAAAAAATGCATGTGCAAAAATGCAACGCAAAACTCACTGCAGAAATGGATCAAATGCAAACTGCATAGGTGTGAACCTAGCCTTAGGCCCGGTTCACATCTATGCGGCCGTGCGGGCCGCGTTTTGCGTGGGCACGAGAGCCCATTCATTTGAATGGACTCCCGTGCCCCGTGACACGCAGGGAAGAAGTCCCTGCACTTCTTACAAAAACGAAGCCTCGGTTCCCAGTACAGTTGCGTTTTCCAGTGCAGGCGGCATGCCATTAGAACTGATAGCACCCACCCACGGGTGTGCATTTCTCTGTGCAAGTGGTGCGGCTGCACAGATTTTCATGCGGATCCGCAGTGGCACCGCCCGCACAGATGTGAACCTAGCCTTAAAGATGCTTATATTTTTCCATACTTGGTTCCCCCTTCCCCTTATCAACATGTTAATGACATATTAAATTAAACCTTTCCGTTTTTATTACATACCTTATTTTAAACCTAGTGATGTCATCATTGGACCTCTTTGCTTCTCTATGAAATCCAGGCAGATCATAGCTGGTGGGAGGGGCTGGCAGGGTGCTGTACATAGCTTCCTGAAAACCTCACAGCACCCTGCCTCAGGACTGCACCCAAGAGCTTCCAGTCCTGATACAAGCAGCAGGCTGGCTCTTAGGAGAAGTTATGCAAGT